CTAGTCTGCTTTTAATACTTTCAAGGGAGATTTTGACTTCTTGTATTATAGACTTCATCTCTAGCAGTTCTGTTTGAATCTTTTGTAAAGTGTGTAATTCCTCTTTTAGACCTTGCAAGAATTTCCTCATCTCCTGGAACTCGTCAACTTCTTTCTCCTTTCTCTTTAGCAGTTCATTATCTCTCTTCTCTTCCATCTCTGATAGCTTCGCCATTATGAATGCTCTAAATTCCTTATCAGACATTTCCATGATTTTCACCGAATTGCTTGTGGATGAAGAAGAGTTACTCTTTTCCCTTGGAGGAGAGGCATTTTCTTGTTTTCCCATATTTCTCGTGATCCAGCAGTGATTTCTTGTCATCTGATGGATGATGTGTTTCTTTCAAATTCTTGAAGTTCAGCTGCTAGCTCGTTTGCTGGAGGCTGAATTATCAGTAGAAAATCTTCATTCCCTGAAATATCTAGTTCGCTGGAGCCATGTGGAACCTTCTTCTCCAGCCAACTGATTTTTTGACAAAGGCCACAGATCAAGCCGAAAATGAATTAATTTCCTTAACCCCAGATAAATACAGCAGTTTCTAAAATTATAGCTCATGTGTAAAATTATAGCTGGACACCGTGTCCAGCAGAGCATGGTCAGCACAGTGGCAGGTTCTCCCCAGTGACCACGCAGAACTCCCAACATAGGATTTTAAACTTAGCTCCATTACTAGCTATGTGACTTGAACCAGATATTCAACTTTTTCTGTTTCCTCATCAATAAAATGCTATTAATATCATCGCTTCACTGAAATGCCATGAGGATTTTAGAAAGACACCATTTAAAAGCCTAAAATGATACCTGACACAGAGTTAATATTTAAGGAATTATATATAATTCTTTTGATGTTTTTCTCATAAACTCCTCATGTAGACTTTGGAAAATTCCTGCAGAAACCCCTTATTATTAACAGGTTTATTTCTGAGTCTCTCATGGAACCGAAACACTTCTCACTCCTCTATTTTACCATTACTTACCTAAAACAAAGCCAACCTGAATGGCTTTTTCCTTCACTGCAGCATCTGATTCTGCTATATAAGAGCACCGCCTACTGAATGAGTAGGCTAAGACTGAAGCAACTTTAACACCATGATCCATCAAGGCCTGAAAACAATGATGAAGCAAATGTCTGAAAGAGAAGGAATAGGATATTTTATAGAGGTAACTTGCACTAGTTGCTTCTCTTTTAAATAACAATACAACTATTTTCCAGTATGAAGTAAGATAAGTATTTTGCCTTTATGAAGCTATAGTAATTCCAAATTTAGTCTAATGTCTTTATTCAGCAAATCACTGAGTGATCCTTTAACACTTTGGAAGAACACAGTGTATAACCTGATGGCAATGAAGAATGAAGGTAACTTAAAATCAGCTTTAAAAAGTAAATTATATTTCAACAATAAATCCACAAATACCCTAATTAAAAATGGGCAATGGGGGACCAGAAGATGGTGTAATGAATAGTCACTGGACACCCACATAGTTCACTGTGGTCTGAATGCTGGACCCAGTGGCTTGAAACTCACAACGGGCACACACGCATACATGCCCAAGATCCTGAAGAGAGAATGAAGGAGAGGGGACTGTGGTGTGGCCATCCCTCCTGGGGAGTGATTTCTTGCTTTCTGCCTCTGTTTCTCTGGCAAC